ATTCGGATTGAATTGAATCGAATATGAATAGAATCAGAATAAGAATAGAATCGAATCAGGTAAAATATGATGCTCAATTCAAATCCGAATTGTTACTGTCCCTTGGTGGAAATTTAGATTGCACTTCAAAATGTTCTTTTTGAAAAAACATTTATTGAAAAATTATAGTTTATATGTTTTACATATATATTATAGATTTTTAATAAAATTTTTAAAAAGGACATTTTAGAATGCAATCTCTTAATATATTATAGTTTCTCAACAGTTACTGGGCACCCTTTTATTTAACTTTTGTCTAGTAACTGAAGAGTAAAACTACTTGGGATAGCAATCAAAATGTAATGCTTCTCCTGCAGTTGTTGCGCACGAAAAATGCGCAGAATCTGGACCTACTTATTGAATTAAATAAAAAATTACACAATTTATTAATAATTAAGTCTGTTGCTCATAAAACTGGTAAGTTTATTCTAATAATATACCATTTTTCATGCACATTTTCTAATTGAAAATTTTTAATGGTAATAAGAGTCATAGCGTACAAAGTTTTTGGCGCATAACATACATTTTTATATTTTTTCGTCTTTAACGTGACATCCTTCACAACTATCAAATGACATATGTCCTTTTATTCATTCTTGTAGTAATATTATCATATTTCAAGTCAGAGCTATCATTTTTATTTGTATCATCAGAACAATCTCATATGTTCTCATTGCAATGAAAAATTTTATATTATTAACATATACTTCATTTATCTTTTACTCACTTTCATTTCTAACATTAGTTATCATCTCTATTATAGAACTTAAAATTGCCTTGTTTCTCCCAATTTTCTTTTTCTTACTCCATATTTTTCTACACGTTTAATCATTGTTTACATAATTTTAATTTCTTTTCTTATAATATAAATAAATATATTCTAGATTTATTCACGATACACACTCATAATACGTGCACATTATTAAATTGAATTAATTTTACTAATGTCTTGAAAAGAATTGGTCCACATATTATACAGTAAACTACCTCAAGTACTGAATGAAATTCTATAAAATTCTTGTCCAGTTCCTACGCGATTTTTGTAAGTAAGAATAGGTTAATGCTAGACAATAACTGCACGGATGTCTACGTAAACGACATACATTTCTACCAGGGAAGGAATCAATTAAATGATTAAATAATTACATTTTTTATATATCATTTTTATATATATTTATAAATATACATATATTAAGAAGTTATATATATAAGAAGAAATAGTTATAGTTTGAATAGCACTAATTGGAATTTAGGACAATTTAACGTGTAAGGTTGATTCACCACGTATATTTTATAAATCCAGAAAAATATTCCAAATATATCACATGTTCAAAAACATTATTATTCTTCCGTAGTTTAGAATTATCAGCACTAATATCCAACAACTTCTCCTATAAATCATGTTACTAATTATGTTGTTGATTAAAAATCGAGGTTGGACGCCTCGATTCGATATGGAAATCTTTTATTTGCTCATCTCTAATATGTTTATTTTTACGATTAGAACTATTTTTGTTAAATTTTCGATCAAATCAAAATTAAATTACAATTTCTGCTGCTTGAGGAGAATCTTTCCAGAGCGCCTAATAAATTATCCTATCTCTTTTTTTCTCCTATCTTCGTTTTTTCTCTTCTCCTGTTCTTTTTCTCCTATCGCACAATAACGAATTCAAAAAGTCGATCGGAGACTTGGGCGTTTTGGGCAACAGCTAGAGATGTGCGATTTATGATATGCAATGAATGCGATATATCATATCATAATTTTGTATCGCAAATATGATTTTAAATCGTACGCGATTTTATATCGCAAGTACGTTTTTGAATCGCGTGTGATTTTATATCGCTAATGCGATTTTTTATCATAAAGGAACCTGGAGCATGATCGGAACCATAATGTTTAAATAAACGTTAAACATATTAAAGATAGATAAATCTCAACTCTCTCTTTGTATTGCATCAAAATATTCTTTCAAAAGTCCACTACAAGAAATACAAGTTTTACTGCGAAAGAATAATTACAAATAATAGCAAATAAAAGCATAATCAAGTTAAATAATATTATCTTAAAAACATCACTTAACCTCATTGCGCTTTCTACGCGAGGCAAAATGGCAGACATTTTATAAAACTTGTTTGTTTCCGAATTATTAATTAAAATATCATATAAAATGTCATATATTGTCGCGCAACACTTGCACAGATATTTAACCCGGAAGTGGGCGCGTATCGGTCATTTCCCCGTACTTTTTCGTTTTCTATTTATATCATCTAATCTATTGATATTATTGTATTTTCATTTTTACGTAAATTTTCTTTGATGTTTTTTCGTATAACAGAAAAGTAGACGGCGTAGACGTGCTTATTTCTATGTGAAATTTGACACGTTTGTAACAGTTGGTCTAAAAGACCATAGCGACTAACTAGTCTTTTATCTCTGATGTGTCAACGTCGCTCGATGTGCCGCCGAACGTCTATTGTCTTTTCGACATCGTAGTTGGACGGATGGTTCTCTCTTTTCTTGTTGAATTAATAAAATTCTCAACAGCACGCGTAATTGGAGTATATATTCTTGATTCAATAGCGATATTATTAAAATTAATACTTGAATTACTGAAGCAATACATAATGTAATAGTTTTAATATTGTCATTGAATCAAGAAGATTTATTTTTTATTTCTAAATTTATCAAATAAATCTTTAAGTTTATTAAATCAATGTTTAAGTTAATCAAAGCAAAACGAGAGAAGCAAGAAATTCTTATTTTATCTTATTAAACTAAAAAATGCCATTTTTTAGTAATGCAGTTAAAATAAAAATATTATGATTTTATTTTTAATATATTCACATATATATATAATAAGTTTAATATGTTTCTTAAGCATATTAGATATAGAAATGGTAAAGAAAAAAAAAAGAACGGAAAAAGAAGAAATAGTGATATAATAAGATTATTTCCTTCAATTATTATGTTTCTTTTAATAATTAGATTGATAATTTATTAATTATTATTTAATTATTATACATATATGTGCTTAAGTATATTTCGGTCGAAATGACCGATACGCGCCCACTAACGTTGGTCCCGTTAACGCACCCACTCCCGGGTTAACTGAAATGACGAGTGATCTTGAATTGCATGTGTGATTTTGTGATAAAGGTTCAGTTGCGTGGTATTGCGATTCAAGAAAAGAAAATATCTTGCGATATATCGTAAAATCGCACATACGTACACTGTAAAAACTGATGTGTTAAATTTAATATTTCATGTGTCCCAAATCATCCATTCTCATTTATGTGTAAATTTGACACAAAACAAATGTGGTAAAAGGTAACACGCATAATATGTAAAAAATTAACACGAAAATTTTACACTTGAATACCGTTAGGAATCACAGTTTGTGTTAAATTGACATATGTATAATGTTAAATTAACTAAGATAAGACGTTACTTTAACATTTGAGAGAAGTATTAATCTATGGTTGATGAAATGAAAATGTTAAATTGACATATGTATAATGTTAAATTAACTAAGATAAGACGTTACTTTAACATTTGAGAGAAGTATTAATCTATGGTTGATGAAATGAAAATGTTAAATTGACATATGTATAATGTTAAATTAACTAAGATAAGACGTTACTTTAACATTTGAGAGAAGTATTAATCTATGGTTGATGAAATGAAAATGTTAAATTGACATATGTATAATGTTAAATTAACTAAGATAAGACGTTACTTTAACATTTGAGAGAAGTATTAATCTATGGTTGATGAAATGAAAATGTTAAATTGACATATGTATAATGTTAAATTAACTAAGATAAGACGTTACTTTAACATTTGAGAGAAGTATTAATCTATGGTTGATGAAATGAAAATGTTAAATTGACATAATTTATGTCTGACATATTAAATATGTCAATTTAACACAACCTGTAATTCTTAATGGTATTCAAGTGTTAAATTCTTATGTTAATTTTTTCCATATTACACTTTTTAACACATGTGTTTTGTGTTAAATTTACACATAAATGAGAGTGGGTGATTTCGGACACACGAAATATGTTAAATTTAACACATTAGTTTTTACAGTGTAGCAACGGCAGGCGACAGGAATGCGCGCGAGGTGACAAGACGCGGTGCGTGTCCTGAATCGCCGCGAACCGTGTTTCGCCAAGTCGACCGAAGCTGACCCAGTCAGAGGCGGTCTGTTCTGGGTCCTCTGGGTCCTTCGCTTTTCGAGTGTTCGACTACTCACGATGCATCGGCGCGCCGTAGGTCGCGACTTGACCCAGAGTCTGAAAGACCGCGATAGTCCTCTCTCGTCGAGGTGATCGCGCGAGTCATGACGCGGCGCGGCGCCGCGCCGAGCCGAGCCGAGACGGCCGACGAGGAAGACGGGGTCTCCTCTCGGTTGGAGAGGCAACCGAGAGAGGCGATGTGCACACGTGCACCTCGGGGCATTCGCAGGTTGTGGCAGTCGGCTCTTGAAAGCCGCCCAGTGAATGCCTCTCGCGCGGCTCTCATATACGCGCGTTTTTACCGATCCCTGTCTTTCTCTCTCTCTCTTCCTCTCTTTCTCTATCTCTGCACCTACGGGGTTCCGGTGCCTGGCGGCCGTAAAATTTCGCGTCGAGGGAGGTACTGTCGAGAGGGAATCCTAGTTGCGCGGCGGAGAGAAAGAGGTGGAGGGGACACCGGTGTCTTGTCAATTTGACAATTTAGACAAGAGCAGAAATGATGGGGCAAGATGAAACTCGGTGATTAAAATATTTCAAAGTGATTCTTAATTGACCCTTGATACACGAGCTGATACGCGGTGAAGTTTTGGTGCGAGGACGCGAGTTTAACGAGACGTGCGCGATGATCTTCGCGGTGGTCGTAAACGCGCAGTGCCGAATGTTATAACATGTGAGACAGTGGAAGATGCTGTGAAGGTAAAGAAAGAAAGAGAGAGAAAGCAAGAGGAGGTGGGAGAGATAGGAACGCGGGGGCGATGCTGATTGGGATTTTTAGCAGACGCTAATCGCTCGATGAACAGTGAAGTCCGCTCCGCTCCGCTTCGCGTCGCGTCGCGTCACGACGCGGTGCCGCGCGGCACACCGGTGGTGAAATTGATGCCGCGCCGACGGGATGAATAACTTCTGCTGAATGTCGGAGAATTCAATGGGATTGCCTGTGTGTGTTGTGCTCGGAGCATTTGAGATTGTTCTTTGTTCCAACGCTCTTGTGCAAGAGCGCCGCGCTGTGAACGCATTGCCAGTTGCGTGTAGCTGTGTTGTTTAACGCGACACGTGGGTGTAAGAGAGAGAGAGAGAAAGAGGAGAGTAAGTTTTCCGTGTGGTCATTAAGAGAGCTTCGAAAAGTGAAATATTACAGCGTTCGATCTAGCGCTCTCCAAGCGAATTCGTATTGCCGTAATGTTTTACTTTCCGAAGGAAATCCGTGATAACTTTCCACCGTGTTCGACGATTATTATTTTTCAATCAGCTTTTATGAATCTTGCCTGACTTTCACTGAATATATAATATCGCGCATATAAGTCGCTTGTTTTGAAAGTGGTATAATTTAAGTTCATTCTTTTTGTCCACTTCCCCCTGATTTTGCAGTTTACAGTGATTCGTAAGCACAGCAACTAGATTGCCGACTCTTTTCAAATTAGATTTCCGTTTCTACTTTCAAGATAAGCGGCTGGCATGTAAAAGGTGTCCTAAGACATTTCACATTTTAATAGCACATTCTAGAGCTTAATCTTCTACCGCCCACTATGACTCTGAAGTCATAATCCAGTTTTTTCATTATTTATCTTTAATATGAATGTTATTTCTGTCTTGACCGATGTGACATGAGTCATATGGCTGCCTTTTTTCAGTATATTAGCAGTAATTGCCCAACGTGACCTCAGAGTTACAAACCTATCTTGGGAAAATAAAAAATTAGAAAAGTAAAATTTCATCTTATGTGTGTTGAGTACTTTAATTTTAAATATTCTATGTATATGGAAAAATTTTTTAACACAAGAAATTAATTTAGAGGGTTAACTCGAGTTGAAAATTCTAACATGAAAATGTTGAAGGGGTTGATCATTTATGACAATCTTTATAACAACCTTTTCATTTTTTGATATTGCTATTTGATATTGATATTTTTTGATATCTCGGGGTATATAAAAGCTAAAGTTTTAATTAAAATTTAAGTGTATTTTATCTGAAATTAACTGGAATATGTGTAATTTTGTTGTTAAAACTTTGTTTTCTTCCTTTGGCTTTTTGCACTAAAAAAAAAGAATCTAATATTTGTATTAGTATTTATTTATAATCGCATATAGTGAAAGAATCATTGTCAAGAGAACTACTCTTGCAGTAGATTTTTCTGTATACGGTGAGAATTTTATAGTGAAATTGCCACAGAATTTTGTATGTGAGGAATAGATAAACATTCCGCAATAATTGATTATTCTTTCATATTTTATGTGCTGTTTATACTTTAGAAATTGGAAAATGTGCTATTACAAAGTTTACCATGTTTTTAGCGAAATTTACCATGTTCCGTAGCAAGACAAATCTCACTAACAGTCTATTCCTACACTACTAAAAACACAATAAAATTAAAAACAATTTATATGGAAAAAAACTATAATTTTCTCTCCGTGTAGTTATAATGCTAATCTTATATATTTACATATTGCTACTATATTAAGGAAAAAAAATATTTCAGAAAAGATATTTATTTTGCGTGTGTATTATATAATAACATATTTATTTATACTTATATAACATATTTTTCAAATTAGAGAATATAATTTTCTTAAAACCTTTTCATGAAAACAATTGTTTATTCTTTTAAAAAAGGAAAAATTTAGATTTGAGTAAAAATATGTTATTAGTATCTACCGCGCATAAATATTCTTTATTTATTTTTTTATGTTTCTTTCTCTCAATATACTGTTTTTTATTAGAACAACAAGAAAGTATAGTCAACGCCGAAATAGCTATGACATTAACGATTTTTTTCTCTAAATGTGAAAAAGTTTAGTTCACGAAAAAATTTCATTTCTTGAAAACTCGAAGGCAATATTGATGCCTTGCTATTTTTATGTACGAGACTTTCAGCTTCAGTCAAGCTTCAATATACGCTATTAGACTTGCATGATGCTTTAGGGACACCCTGTACAGATGCACAATACACTCGCTGTTGCCCCGAAGGAAAATGCACCGATAGTGCATTCGCATTCATACAACAGAGGCATGCTAACGGTTTTACGAGTTTTTCACATGTCAGTGGATCACTGGGTTTTCCAACAACGATTTCCCGGTAGTGCGCTTTCTTAGCGATTCCAGTTCGATTCGCCGGTACCGTAATGTGTCGCGAACATAGCAAACCGATAATATAGGAAAGAAACAGAGCTGAATACAAGTTTAGACTCGGGAAAGCCGGACAACTGACAACTGTCAATTTATGCGATTACAGTCCCGATACAAGCTCTTCTTCCTTTCTCCCGTTTTCTTCAATTACACGACGTAAGACAGAGGGGCTTCCGATGTCGAAGCCGATTATTAATCGATTGTAAAGACTGACCTCTGAATTAAACACGACGCACGCTCCGAATTCGAAAACGCGCTTGGGCGCGCGCAAGCGCGACAGCCTACGACTTGATTTACGCGCGAATAATGGAGGTGAAGATAAATCGCTGCAGCACTTAGCGTGTGCATCCAAGTCGAGTCACTCGAAATAATCGCACGACGGCTCCGTTACGCCGGCAAAAAAATGGTCACGATCGTTTGGTTCGGAGGGACGGCGAGTGCGCGCGCGCGCGGCGGCGGGATGGCGCGAATATTTCGAAAGAACCGCATCCTCTCCGTTAGAGCGACCGTCACGCGCGTCGGAGAACGAGTGTGGGAATACCTGAGGCGGATCAGTGACAGTGACACTAATGACATTCGCGACCGGGGTAGAGAGAGAGAAAAAAAGCGAGCTGCGTGTACTTAAGACTGTGCGCGGACGATCCTGCGATCGCGACTCGTGGGAAAGCGTGAACGCGACGACTACGTGCGTCGCGAGTCGAATGGAATATCGCGAACTCGATGGATGAAAACGAAAGGACCGGGGAGACTGCGAGGAAAGTTATACACGCGGATGATAATAACGCGATTGTTGTTGCCCGTTACCTCTTCATATAAACATGCGGATCGCGATAAAGCGCGCGGCGCGCGAATCGCGGAGGTACTTCTCTGGTAGAAATTCAAGGTAGTTGTCTCTCTCGCGACAATATTGCTAGGAAGTTATGTCAGGTCAGTCGCCAACTCAACACGGAGAAGCTTTACAAATTTGTTAAATGCTTATGGGTATGATTTATGATATGCGTGACTTTGACCTTTTACAAGGCAAAATTTTTTTCTTATACGTGGTGACTCTAATGTCTATATATATTACAAGTTTACATAACGTACCTGGATACTTGACAAGTGGTGAAATATAAGAAACCTTATAATACTTATTATTATTATGATTATTGCTTGGCAAAATATCGACCACAATCCATTCAGGGAAAGCGCTCAGTCACTCAGGTTTTGTAGTTAAGATTTCAATCACTTTAGGATTAGGAAATTTTCTTTTCAAATATTTGGAAATAAAAATTTAGACTTCGTTAAACACAAAAAATTGTTTATTTGCACTAATGTATTTGCAGTTACTCATGTCAAAAAAATTACAAAAATTTTAATTTATGTTACATATTACAAGTAGATATCATACTTGCATTTTTTTAATAGCATTTTTTATGGCAAGTACTTGCATGGTTATATGTAAACCTGTTTTTTTTCTATTAAATATCATCTGTATAACGAAAATTGCTGACAAAGTTCTTTGTTTCTAATTGTTTTTGTCTTGTTTTGTATACAATAGACATTTTGAACCTTATATGAAGTGATTAAAAGTACAAACTTATAAAGGGTTAAGAAATATTAAAGACCACATAACATAACGTCTAAAATCGGGATAAGACATGTCTTAGAAACGTCTTTAAAATATCTTAGCTCTTGTCCACAACCTTGCTTTAAGATGTAAGCCATAAGAAATTGACCAACCATGGTTGATTTTTAGAAGAATAATCAACGTGGTTGGTCAATTTCTTACGGCTTACGCCTTAAAGCAAAGTTGTGGACAAAAGCTTAGAGACGTCTTATATTCTAACGAGATTTTTTAAACTTCTTTTAGTTGTCTTATGTCTCTATTTTAGATGTTGTGTGAGTTAAATCATATTCAATCATAGCTAAGAAAATAAGGCCAAAATGAGTTAGATGCCAGATTTAATGTGTGAAACTTTAAAATATTGTATTTAAGAGCGCATTACGCAAAGGTTTCGGGAGTATTCAACCCTCTTTAGTGTAAACAAAACATGTTATCAGTACAATAAAATAGCCCGCAGAATTTCAGCAAATATACGCATTACTGTATTCGACATAATGCGTATATTTACCGAAATTTTGTGGATTATATTATGTACTTATATGTTTTATTTATACCGAAGAGAGTTGAATATTCAACCGAAACGTTTGTAGGAGAACCTCGGGGAGATATAGTTGATAATTTTTTACACAAATACTGTCATGTAATGAAATGTTTTGCAATTATTACTGTTAGATGTCTTTTACCGCATATCGTCATCAGTTGTCATATTATTTTTAGCTGGAAGGTGCTACAAATTGTTTAATGCGTTTGTTGCATTCTCCACAATTGAGTTGCAATTTGTTCGGTACATTTGCACAAGCTAAAACAATGATAAGATTCTTCTTTTTATTATCGTATGTATATTAACGTTATTAGATGATATTTTCTCGTCATTTCAATTAAATGTGCAAATATTGTCTATGATATTTTGTATTACATAATCCAAACTTCGGAATATAACAGGATTATGCCATTATATTCTTAAAATGTTAAGTTACATTATCGGGAACAGTTTTCTTGACAAAATTTATAATAATTATTTCTCTATATATAATTACAATTACAAATACATTTTTTCTCAGTGTGTGACGCTCTTCCTACAGTTATTGCGTCCGAAAGATGCACAAAATCTGAACCTATTTAGAGACTTTTTTGTTCAGTTTAATTTAATGTACAAACACATGATGGCAAACGTCACCACTACAGCTTATCTATCATATCTCGCGTGATTATTCATCAATCTTCTTTAATTAATATCTCGAGATTTATTGCGAATATCGCAAAATGATATAAGACTTATGTTCATTTCAATCCGTACTATGTCTTCAGCTTCGGAGATTGTTGTGGGATACTCTTTCGGTCATTTTTATTTCTAAACTTAGTTATTATTTCTGCTATAGAGCTTAATAATGTCAAATGTTTTATTTCTTCCAATCTCCTTTTTTCTGCTTTGTTTCTCTACACGTTTACTCATTGTTCATACGATTTTTTAACAATATAGACGAATATGTTTAAATTCATAATTCGAATAAAAATGTTTATTCACGATAGACATTATAATACACGTGCACATTATAAAACTGAATTATATCTTGGGAAGAATCGGCTCACATATATTGCATAGTACTGATTTAAGCACTGAATAAAACTCTATCAAATTCTTGCCCAATTTCTACGCGGTATTTTTACAACTAATAAGAATGCATTGATACTAGATAATGATTAAGCATATGTCGCAAATTGCACACATTTCTACCTGAAGTTCGAAGAGCAGGGAGTCGCGACCGTAAAGGCGAAGATGACAACTCGTGGCGCAAAAATTGCGGATAATCGACAGCCGATTGTAACTCGCGTAGCGAGAGATAGGAGAGAGGAACGAGCGAATGCAAGCGCGCAGAAAAGCCGGAATGCGATGAAAACGGCGGGGCGGAGGAGGTGAAGAAACTGACAGGGGCAGGCTAACTCGGGTACGCGATCGTTACGCGGCTTTATAAATAGATTTTCATTAGAACGGAAAGTAACGTTGACATAAAACATTCCCACGTAAATGTCGCGGCGGTAATTTACGGGCATTCCCCGCGCGCGGCATCTTAATAAAGTCGCGTCATAAAAGCGCGCACGTACGATTTTAATCCCTTCGCTCTCCGCCGCCCGAAGAGGTGCAGCACGCGGCGGCCGCACTGTAAATACTACTTTCGAGTCATTGCCTCGACCTGTAATTACGCAAGTGTAAACACAATCGTACGGGCGATGCGAGTAACGCGACTGCCCGCGCCGATACGCGAGCGAGCGCGTTCGCGGTTTAGCGCGAACGGCCGCCCGTAACGAGCGGACTACAATGGGAACAGGAGACGAAACCGGATATTAACCACGAGGGCATGAAACTAGACGCATCGCTGTGGAGCTGTGTTGGACATTAATTGATGAAAACTTTCGATCAAAATAATCGACAAATCAATTATCAAAACTAATAAATCGTCGTGTGTAAAGTCACAAATAACTTCATCACTTGTGAAATTACTTATTAATACACTGAGAGAAAAGACTGGTAACTATAACAAACTGCATTTAGTTATAGAAATTCGTTGAATCCTTAGTAACTAATACTAAATATGATAATAATTACCAAATATTTAATAGATCGGGAGTATGACGTAATTGCATTTACAGTAACATCAATTAAATAATTTAGTAATAGCTACTTAATGTTAAATATTTAATATGAAATATATTACAGTTATGAACAGATATTTGATAATTGTTATGAAATTGTTATATCCTATGTAATAAAAGATTCAATAGGTACGAGTTCTATTTTGTTACCAGTATAAGTATGTTTTGTTGCAGCACAACAAAAAATTCATTCATTTGCAGCTATTACATCGTTTCAATATCTATTATTATAGATGGTTGGTTGAACCTACCAAAAATTTTGTAACTATTACAAAATCGCTTATTTTGCTCAACTATTCAATAAGTTTTACTTACTAAATACATTCTGGAAGCAAATAAATTTTACTTCTATCAAATAAATAATTTATTTTACAGAGCTAAATTAATTAATAAGTATTGCCCGTTATATTTACGTCTACCTTTTAGTAATAGTAACCAAATTTTGATAATATTTACTAAATCCTTCTCTCAGTGTACAAATTTGATATGATTGGTTATTTGCTAATGAATAATTAGTTTTATTAACTGATTAAATTATTAATTATTATATATGTGATGACTGATCACAATTTTCATTTTTTATTAATTTGCCGACTTATTTATTCAAGAAAAATAATTGATGAAAAATTTTTTTTAGCAAAATAATTGACATATCAATGGTCAAAATTAATCAATTGTCATGTATAAAATTACAAATAACTTCGTTGATTGATGAAATTAATTATTAATCGAAATTTCATGTGATTTATTATATACTGATAAATAATTGGTGTCATCCATCAATTAAATTGTTCGTTATTCCATTAATGACGATCGATCACAATTTTCATTATTGATTCACCAACTATTTCATTCAAAGAAATTAATCGATGAAAATTTTCTGTGACTAAAATAATCGGCGAATTAGTAATTAAAATTAATCGATCGTCCTATATATAAATTTATAAATAATTTTATTGACTGATAAAATTAATTATTAATCAAAATTTGATATGGTTAAGTATATCTCAGATTAATAATTGATTTCATGACTCGATTAAATTATTCGTTATTACATACATGGCGATTGATCCAATTTTCATTATTGATTTACCTCGATTATCTTAGTTTAAAAAAAATTTTAACTAGTTAATGCCCAATACAAAAATATATAAGGACAGTAAGAGTCAAATTGCAAATGAAATTACATAGTGTTAAACGAAGATAAGTTACTTGCAAAAATATGTTTTGTATAGTTTTCAACAAAAACAATTTTGTTGTTCCTATTATCTAAAAATAATTTTCATGAATTGAAAACACCTATGCCAGGTTTGATAGTAGTTTATGCAACAAAATTTGCGTGACTCAAAGCTCAGTTTCTTTTTGTCAGCGTACTTAATCTACTCGAATTACTCATCATTCGTTATGAAAACAATCTGATCCGACTAATTCTATTTGACGATTTTATCTCCAAATATTTCCATAACACTACTCGATCCGAAAGAACGGACTGAAAACGTGTTTGTGTCCCGATTCGCAAGAATTGTTTATAAACATTCCAGTTGCTTATTCCCATGAACTGGTGGGCGGATATATACAGTTTAGTTACGATGTTGTCGCACGTGTACCAACGCATTGAAATTCCTGACCGCTAAGTCGGCAAACAAATAGAAGCTTATCTCAGGAAGAGAGCTAGGGTCGAACGCGCTATATATGTTATTCCGCAAGTCGAACGCACGTGAAAACACTGAAACACGGTCCCGCTTCGGAAATCGAAGTGGAACGAATAGTAGACGGACGGGGAGAGCCGAGGCGGGTCACAAAGACTCAGCTTCTTCGAGTTCTCCGCCGTCCGCCGTCCGGGGAGAAGGTATACGAGTTGTTACTTAAGCTGTTACACGAGTCTGACTGAAGGCCAGGGTCGTGGCACGCGAGAATCACGCAGTCTAGAATCCCACGGCCCTGATGGCCGGTCATGCGATCGAACGCGATCCTCGTGCTACATAACATAACGCGAAAAGAGTTTCTCTTGACCTGACAGTCCGCGCCACGCGAAATTCTTCCGGCTATGCCGGGCGAAAAATATTAACTACGTCGTACGAATTGAAAAAAAAAGAGAAAGAAAGGCAATAACAAGAAAATCGCATACGTCGTTTCGTGCGGGAAATGAACGTGACGTTGATTGACGCGAACATTGGTGAGGAACTGTAAGACTGTGACGAATGCCGGAAGCGCGAGGAGGACGATCTCGTGACGGGAGAGACCCTTTCTTCGAAAACTGGCGCGCGTCGCGTAACAGTGATCGTCGTTTCGCTTCAGTGAGATGTGTGTGTTTGTGTGATTGTAGACTCCACGGCGAATGACAATGGGGAACACAAGGTCGCAACCTTGCCGTCGAAGCAAGCCGCTCTACCTATTCTACCTTATCCACCGTACGTGGAGCGTCGTGGTGGATCACCGGTCCAAGGATCAAGATCGATGCGACGACACCGACCGGGAAACGGATTTATCGTCGAAATGCAGCACCTGCAACGCCTGCGATTACCGACGGGACAGCCTTACCTTCGACAGGTAATGTTGTGTGCTGAGGGCAATTGATTTTTCTAACATAAGATATACTTCTGCAAGCTTCGCGCGCAGGCCGTTGGATAAGCTGTAGGCGCGAACGTTGCCGCGAATGAATTCTGACGTTTTTACCGACGGAACAGAAACTGAAAGCGCGCAAGAAACGAGACACTTTTGGTCTATTCTTTTTAGCTGCATTGCTGAACTAGTGCAATAATTTAGAGTGAGGAAAAAATATACTTGTCTCATTTTAACTTATTGCACTAGTTCAGCAGGACAGCTAAAAAGAACAAACCATTTTTGTTAGAGACTAGTGGTCTATTCTTTTCAGCTGCACTGCTGAACTGGTACAATAAGTTAGAGTGAGAAAAAATATACTTGTTTCACTTTAACTTATTGCATCAATTCAGCAGTGCAGCTGAAAAGAACAGACCACAGGTTTGCACTTACAATTTTACATTGTAAGATTGTAAGATTACTCGTACATCTATACAGATTACTTACGTATTGTCTACGTGATGTACATTATTCTTTATCATGTAAACAATCTAAATTACATGGAATATCGTAAATAATATTAATACACAAAAAAGAAAAATTAAATCATGAAACAGTTGCAATACTTGTTTTGGGTATTAATTATAAATATAATGTTCAAAAAAGATAATAAATTGCACGAAATTTTTATTATACCCTTATAGAAATATCATATTAAGAATCATTGATAATTACTTATTATCCAGTATTTTTAATACTGAAAATAAGTAATTATCAATGATTCTTAGTATGATATTTCTATAAGGGTGTGATATATTTAACCAGGCTTTTTGGACGTTTACGTGTAAATTATGATATTCTATATTATCGTTATCGACATTTTTGAACTTCATAATCCACTTTGGCAACTTCATAATCCCCTTAAAAGAAATTTATATTTTTATTTAACTCTTAGAAACTTTATGTAAATTTATGAACATTGTTACCTAAACATATTAGAGTTTACAAAATTCTTTGATTACATTCTTATTTTAAAAATTAAATCTTTCTTTCTCTCTTTCTTTCTTTATCAATCTGCATAATAAAATAGAACTTTCATGCGATTTATTATGTTTTTAAAATATTATATTTATAATTAATATTTGAAACAGATATAGTAAATATTTCATAATTTAATTACTTTTCGTTTAGATATTTTAATATTTAATTAATATATTTAATATACTTTAATATATATTCAATACTTTACAATATTCTACATAGTCTTTTCTACATGAAAATAGATCGTGTTTACGTAGACAATATGTAAACAAACTGCGTAGAGGTAATTTTGAAATCTACAGCATAATGCTGGACTTAATCTTGAAAGTAAAAATGTAACCAGAAAATTCTATGGACTATAATTTGTTTAGGAAAAAATATTTTTAAATTTATATCAGGGTTCTAAAGAATCTTAATCAGAGAGAGAGAGAGAGAGAGAGAGAGAGAAATTTTTTTTAAATATGTTTTTATTTCCAATAAAAATTGAATAAATCTTAAATAAAAATTGAAATATAAAAATTCCTAAATAAAAATAAAAACTTTTCTTAATTAATCTTTGAGCAAGTTCTTTAAATGATATTCATGAATTTAATAAATTTCATGAAATTTTTATTTCATTATGTGACAGATTAGTAGATTAATAACATAATCGTTATATTAATAACATAATCGAAAAAATCTTATTAACTTATTCATTAATAAACTACTTTATAATTAAAAAAACTCATTTATTAGTAATATAATATTCAATTGGTAATCCAATACGTTATTCGTTCGATTTCATCATGTAATAAAAAACAAAGGAAGGCAAAGAGATTATCAGAAGTTTTCGTGATGGGAGCCGGGGCTAGTTGGCTACCGGGGTAATTGGGAAATTGATTATTTTTATTGTTCTTTAACAGATTTTAGAATCAGGCAAGCAAGAACGTCAAATTTATCTCTGACATGTTTAAAAATCTTATTTGCTTAATTCTATAACTTGTTAGAAAATAACAGAAATAAGTAATCAATTTTGCCAACTTACTCCGATAGCTAACTAGTCTCGGTCTCTTCTACAAATAATATATTTATAATTGATATTTTAGTCATTAATTTTGATTAATTAAAATTTCCTCTATTTCTTTAACACATTGAATACTTGATGATTATCAGCGACCAGTATTAAAATTCTACTACGTCTCATGAAGTTCTACTACGTCTAAGATATAATTAATTGCATTGGTGCCTCTCTCTGTCCCCTCTCTCTCTCTCTCTCTCTCTCTCTCTCTCTCTC